GAATGGTAGTGTATGCATGAATAACTTAAGACAGATTGAATGTTTTCACTGTGCATTAATTGTACTGGCAGCTAATTTCTAATTCCCTCCTTGTGTTCAGCTATTTAGCCTGTCACTAAACTGACCCCATTACTGCTAACCTCTACTGACCTCCTCTGATTGACCCTAAACAATAGAGAGAGTGGACATACAAGGGTTGTAAATCCAAGGGAAAGTGTTAGTCGGAGTGTGCCAAGTTTTAACAAGAGAGCGTGTGCCATCAACAGTTCAAAGACTTTTAACCCAGGCTTTTGTGAATAGCTGGACAATATTGCTTCGTTAAACAATACATTGAGACATTTAAGCTTCATTCTGGTACATATTCATGATGTTTGAATCCTTATTGGTCAGGTATATTATGATTTCTGTCATTTACTTAAAATCTTTCAATGCACAATTTTGCAGGATCCATTCCAGCGACTGTCTGAAGACTTCAGAGATAAACTGACTTCAGAGGAAAGAAAGCAATTGAAGGTTTTCCTTGGGCTCACAGATACTGACATTTTCTCTTTGGAGCTACATGAGATCCTTCAGCTCAAGACCAACAGCACTGTTGAAGAAGGCTTCGCGCCACACTGGGAGTAAGAACTGATCTTATTTTGTTACATTTTCATATTATTTGCCCAGCATTCCAGCCTTCTGGACTCACCATTTGTGGGGTTTGATGCGGCAAACTGGCCACAAAAGGCAAAGTGAGCCTGACCATTTTTCACAGATGTCAGACATTTGATTTTTTACATTTAAATATTATATGGGATAGTGTGATGAGCCAGTTATTATTACAAAATACTTTCAAACATTCACAGGGTGATTGGGACTATAATTATCTAATTATATTAGCTATATGAGCTAATTATCAAACAAATAAATGAATGGATATGAAATACTTATTAAAAAATTCATTTGTAATATTAAACCACAGAGTTATATGACAAACATTGTACAAAAACATACTGCAAAGTTCTAGTCAAGTATGTTAAAGAACTGTATAATAATGCATTTTAAAATTGAAATACTGAAACATATAGGCTAACTTTTGAAATCTGGCTTGTGGTTGTAAACATTAATCCAATTCTGAATGTTGTACACTTAAATGCCATTGTTCAGGGTAATTATTCTCAAAATAAAAAGTCAGGAAATGTTCTGGCACCCAAAGCAAATGCATCTACAGTAAAAAAAAAAAAAAA